TATCAGTCGGAAGGACGCCAGCGTCGCCGCGCTACAGGGCATTGGTGGCGTCGACCGAGCATTCGTTGAATGTGAACCACGTGCGAGCGCCAAACTGATCTCAACGCCATCTACCAGCAACGCCGCCCCGACCCGCGCAATATCAGGGGCGAGCCACAGGTCGTGGGGGGAATACAGCATCATCTACGCCATGCTGCACTAACCCCTCACGCACAAACAGACCGTCGATCGCGGCCCACGACCAGTGGGGAGAACGGCCTCTCAGGTGCCCACTATGGCAAATGCATGGCCCTTCTCATCTGCTTGGATTCACGCAGCTGGGACGTTCCCGTTGCCACCGTGCCCGAGAGGAAGGGTTACGGGGGGTCTTGCGCCCATGGCATCTCGCTGCGCGCGATAGAAGAATGCGACCGCTTACTACAGGAAACCCGCACACAGGACAAACTTCTAACGCTCGCTGTCCTGGGGCATATCAACGCGGACTACCCAGGCAACGCGAGCCTAATCTCAGCGTTCCGTCGCATGGCCAAGGCTACCAAGCCAAGGCCCAGACGCATCCAAGGGGCCATCCACCAATTCGGACGGGAAGAGGTCAAGTGCTTTGAAAACGTCGTCCACATTATTCTCGACCCGGCTGCCAGCGTCGTCTGGGTCCGTGCCGCCATCTGCGAAGCTGGCGCTATCGTGGTCATGCCTGCGCTCGAGGAGCTGTTTGCGGTGCAGTTCTCAGGGGCTGCCTCTCTGAACGGCAGCTGCTACCCGGGCGGGCCTGGCACGGCGCAGCGTAACGCGACATGTCGCCACCAATCAGCCAAGGAGGATGCCCCGCGCAAGCAGCTCGACGAAGACCTCATTGACGCGTCCACAGCGGGTCTCACTTCCGCGCCGTGCAACTGCAGAAAGAAATGCAGCTGTGAGGGCGCCGCGGCACAGCGGGCTGCAAACGCAGGCTCGCGGCTTCCTTGGGGATTCGGCCAGTTGTCGTCCTCCTGAATCCCTCCGTCTCTGAACTGGGGAGCATCCAGTTGGGCGCCAGCTGCCGCGGCGGCTCTACAGGGTTCTGCCCCGCCGACTACACCATTGTGCGGTGCCCAGATGGTCGCCAGACCAAACTCGAGGAAGTGTGCAGCTTCAACCATGCATGACGTTCTTGTTGCGCTGTCCGTGCGGACTGACGTGGTGGGCATCAGAGTCGAGGCAGACGCCAGGGAGGCGAAATGAGTCGCCCTGAGGCTCCGCGGAACCGATGCTGCTCTCGCCAGAGCAGAGTACCGCATCGCGGGCATCGAACCGCAGGGCGCCACTACGACGCAAATCGCCATGGTCTTCGCGTCTATCAAGTGGCGCTGCGAGGTCTCGCTCGCTGCCTGGGACAGGGCGTCCAGGGGTGATTTCGCCATCTTCGGAGCGGCCAGCCCCCCTCCGAACGTGGCGGTTTACGTCCGCGGGTCCACCGCCCCGCGGGCCATCGTCAGGGCGGAGGCGCGCGCCCCCGCTAGGGCCGACTCCCCGGAAGGGCCGCCCTCTACGATCGTTTCGCCAGGGGCCATCGAGAAGGACGAACCCCTGGTGGTGCCGCCCGCAGGGGAGGTAGGATCTATCGGCCCATCCTCTCTGCAGGACAGGGTGGTCACCAGGTCTTGCCTGCGATGTCGACTGAAATCGCACCCGCGCCCGGCGACGCAACTGCCGCCGAGCGCCCCGCCTCCAGGGGCGAAGCAGCGCGGCGCCGGTGCGCCGGGTTCTCGCCGACGAGCCAGCTGCGCCCAGAAGGGGGCCACCGTGTGCGCTGACGAAGTCGCCACCCCGCATTGAGCGGCGGAGCCGACTGTGGCATGGGGGGCGGCGCCGACGGAATCGAGGGCACTGGCGCCCAGCCTCTGTCTGCCAACGAGAAGCACGCGCCAACGGGTTGCAATTCAATCTTTTGCGAGGAGTGGCGATCGTAATCTGGCGTCCAAAGCATTTCCGACCAAGCGGACGCGTGGGTCAGCGGGCTGGAAGCTGACCAGTAGCAGCTCGCGGGGGCAGTCAATCGCTTTGAAACTGCCGTCGCCGGCGTGGCCTCCAGCCAGGCCGCCCCGGCGCAGCCCTGCCACCAACTCGAACAGAGGGGTCCTTGCGGTCCGATCTGAACAGACCAACCTGAACGCAGACCTGAGGATCTTCATGAGTTAAACGGCGCATCTTGTCTCGCTGGCCCTGGCCCAAACGGCGCAGGCCGTTCAGAGCCCGCCAAACCGCGCGCAGCTTCCCGCTGGGCTCGCCAGCGAGGCCAGCCCCAGCGATTCACTTGGGAACCGCTTGACAGGAAGAAGTGAGCGGGCAGCCGAGCAAGCAGCAGTGGCGCACTCCAGGCTGTCGCCGCCGCGGGGGCCGCATTGCGCATTGAAAGGGCCTCCTCGATGGGCCCCCCTCGCCCCGCCGTGGCTGCGCGCGCAGAGGGGTGTTGAATCTCCCGAGGTTCCAGCGGGGGCAGGGGGCGGGGGTGAGCTATGGCGTGGGTTTCGCTAGGTGCTTCGTGTTTCTAGTTGCCATCGCTGTCCAGGGCTTGGTGGCGATTCTAGCTCGCTTGTGTTCGTGCTACTTCGCTTTCGCTCGGCGTCCGCAGCATTTGGCCCCGCGATTCCTGCCTGGTCCGCCGCGCGCCAGCCCCCGCCAGCTCCTGTTGGGCGTCGCCTTGTGCTTCAGACCCATGGGATTTTTCGAGCGCGCCCGCCCTGATCGCCGGCGTGTCTGTGGGCGACCCAGGGGTGGAGGCGCCAGTTTCACCCCGCCGGCTGTTCTCTTGCAGCGAATGCGGTTGGAAAATCATTCAGCGCAGTCTTTCGCCAGCGTCGACGACGACGAGCGACATCGCGCGGCCCCTGCGGCGTCGACCGAGCCCTCGAACAACGGACCAATGCGCCGCCAAAAGAAACGTTATGCGGAGCACGACTGCCCCAGTACTGGGGGCAGCAATGGCGGGGTAAACACTTCTTTTAGCTGTGCCCACACCAGTCAGTCGGACCCATTGCCAACCGTGGGACATGCATCAGTTTCGACAGCGGGGAAGCAACGGCGCCGACAGCCAGCGTGTGCTGCCGGCGCAACCGCTGGCGGAACACATGAACATCGTTCTTGCGTTCCACGGGGCCATGTGCGTTGCGCCCCCAGGGCCGCCAGTTCCAATATTACCCGCGGCGCTAGGGTATATCGCGGTGCCCGCGGACACCTGTGCCCAGCGCCCGTTTGGCAGTCTTGAAGTTGTGATCCCGCGCGCCAAACGGCTAAGGGGCACGGCCCCGACGCCGAAAATCTCTGCGGCGTCGGTGGCGACCCCGTGCAGGCCCCAGCGCCGCTGGCAGCCTCTCCGACATGCTGATCGAAGACCCTTACGAGGCAAGTGCTTTTCGACCGTCGATCATCGTCTTTTTGCTTTTCCGCATCCTCGTTGCTCGCCCCCCAAATCCTCGACCCTCGATCCTCTTTCTCTCCGTCGTCCTTGCCCCGCCCGTTTTTTTAGACATCGCTCTTCCTTCTCGCGCCTCCAATCGCATCGGTGCGGCGGGTCCAGCGTTTCGCCAGAGAATTCCGCACCGTTGCTGATCTTGAAGTCTGAGCTTTGCAGCAGTTGCAGGGATGGAGCGGGGGTCGTGCTCTAATCGGGGCTCTGTTCGTGTCAAGCGCTTGCAACACACGAAGGGATGGTGGTTTTCAGGATGGGGTTTTCGCCTTTGCGCCGCGCGCATTCATGTGAAGAAGCTTGCGGCAGTTGCACGGATGGAGGGGGTACTGTTTTCAAAATGGAGATCTCGCCTTCGCGCCGCAGGCATTCGTTAGACATTCTTGCAGAGGGGACAGGGATGGAGGGCGGCTCCTGATCAAAATGGGGCTCTCGCCTTAGCGCCGCGCGCACTCGTCCTTGCAACAGTTCGAGGGATGGAGGTGTGCCGTTTCCATAATTGAGCTCTCGCTCTAGCGCCGCGATCATGCGTTCGAAACGCTTACACCAAGTACGAGGATGGAAGGGTGGTGGTTTTCAAAATGGGGCTCTCGCCTAGATGCCGCGCAAAGTTGTCAAACAAGTGTCCAGCAGTTGCGCGGATAAAGGTCGGCTCTTTTTCCAGTGGGAATCTCAGATTAGCGCCGCGCACATTCCTTTCCAACGTTTACAATATCGACAAGAGTGGGTGGGTTCCTCGGGTTCCCCCGGTTTCCCTGGCTTCCTGGTTTCCTCTGGTTCCCGGGTTCCTCGGGTTCTTCGGGTTCCTCTGGTTCCTCGGGGCCCTCGGGTTCCTCGGGTTTCCCAGGTTCCCCAGGTTCCTCGGGTTCCCCAGGTTCCTCGGGTTCTTCGGGCTCCTCGGGTTCCTCGGGTTTCTCGAGTTCCTCGGGTTTCCCTGGTTCCTCGGGTTCCCCGGGTTCCTCGGGTTCCTCGGGTTCCCCAGGTTCTCCAAGCAGTGCCAAGCAATGCGAAGCTTAGCCAAGCAATGCGAAGCTTAGCCAAGCAATGCGAAGCACTGCTAAGCAATGCGACGCAATGCTAAGCAATGCGACGCAATGCCAGGCAATGCCAAGCAACGCCAAGCAGTGCCCCCAACTGCGTCAAGCAATGCCCCAAGCAATGCCAAGCACTGCATCCAGCAATGCCGAGCAGTGCCGAGCATCGCCGAGCACTGCGCCCATGCAGCAGGAAGCTCTCCCCTGCTCGGGGTCGCGCGGGCCCACTCACAGGAGGCTCTCGCCAGCATGGCAGGCGCAAGGAGAGGCTTTGCAAGGCCTTGTGATGAAGGAACTTGAGACGGGAGGGTGCGTTGCAACATCGTTGGTGTTTGCTACCCCTCCGTGCCCCCCTCTTCCCCTCCGCCTCCGCCCTCGCCTGTGCCGCCGCCGCCGTCAGACGTCGCCGCCGCCGTTGGACAACGGCGGCGCCGCCGTTGGACGGCGACGGCGGCGACGGCCTCGACGACGAGGACGCGCACGGGGCCTCCTCGACGCCTCCGCGCGCCCGCGGTTCGGAGGCTCGATGCCCTGGTGTGCATCAGGCGCTCCCCGCGCCGCCTGCCCACCGCCCCCCGCTGCGTTCGGGGTGAGCTCCGTCGGTGTCGTCGTCGTCGGCGGCGGCGGCGGCAGCGGCGGTGGCGTCGTCGATGGCGTCGGCGTCGGCGTCGGCATCGGCGTCTGCGTCGTCGCCGGTCCCCCACGCTCCGTAGCCACCTTGGACCAAGCAGATGTGGGTCATGTTGTCCCACAGTCATAGCTACCACGGGAGTCCACTGACTACTTTCTCGACAGCGGCTGTTGCCTCCGACACTTGCAGTAACCAGCGGGTATGACCGAGGAGGCAGAAGTGAAAATTGCGTGCGAGCGCTGGGTTATGGGCACTCTGGAGCTGGTTCTTGCGGGGCATTCTGCACGCACGCGTGAGCTGGTGGCGGCCGTTCTCGCATACAGGGGCGCAGATACCGAGCTGCTGGCACTGCAGGGGGACTTGCACAGGGGGGGGCCCGTCAAGCAGAACCGAGCTGTGAGGCAGTGGCTGGAGGAGCAGCGGAGGGAGGCCGTAATAGACAAGTGGAGCGCCTGGGGCTTCCCTGCCCCTCCAGCGGGTTCCCAGGCCAGTCCGATCATGGCAGGGATGGCTGCGCCCAGTCGCGTCGTCATTTTCGATTTCGACCAGGTTCTTTCCACGGTCGAGGTCGGGCCACATATGCTTGAAAACGCTGCACATCGCGCCTTCGGTGGTTCAGAAAGAGTTTCTGAACTCGATGACATGTTGACTGCCCTGGGAGCTGGTGGGGTGGGGCTTGCGATTGTGTCGCGAAACAGCCGGCATATCATTCAGCGCTCGTTATCGATGTCGTTGAATCGTCACGGGGCCGACTTGTGGCGGCATTTTGCCGTGCCTGGCATGGTGTTTGGCTGGGAGGATTACGACGACGGTGTCCCGAAGAGTCAGGTCATTGCGGAACGCGTGCTTCCAAGATGCGGGCTGCCTGCGAGCAGCGCGCTGTTCGTAGACGACATGATGGTGAACGTTGCAGATGTGCGCGGGCAATGCCTTGGTATCTCGGTGCTGCATGTGAAAGGCGGAGGCGGCCTCAGCGGAGACGCCATGCGCAGGGTGCTCGATTGGGCACAGCTGGACTGCCACGACGGGAGGCCCACCATCGAGGACGCAGCGGAGGAGCCAAGAGGCTGCGCGGCCGGTGGAAAACAAAAAATGCCTCGAGTGCTCACGAGGAAGGTGGGCTTTGGCAAACATGATCCAAAGCCCCCCTGACACGCTTGCCATGTACCGCGTATGAATGTGTAGCGCTCAGATCGGAAGGGCCGAATGCCGCAGAGGGCCACCGAATGCCGCCGAGGGCCGCCGATGGCCGCCGAGGGTCGCCGAAGGTCACGGACGGCCTTCGAGTGCCGCCGAAGGCCTCGAAGCACCTTCTGGCTGCTTGCCGTGCGCGCGGGTATCGATCTGTCCGTGTACGCCTCCTTCGCCTCCTCGCATCTCGCCAGCGACTTGCGCATACCTGCCGTCCGGGATGTCTCTGCGATGAGGATCCTTCCCGATGCAGGCTGATGTCACGCTGGGCTCCCCTGTGCCCGCTTCCCTTCGCTCCCTCTTTTCGCCGCGTCCTCCGCTTTTCCCCTCCCTCCTGCACGGTGGCACAATCCGCTTCAGCAGCATCCCCGTTTTAGGCTATTCCGCTGGCGCAGACGACCCCTGCCTCGCCGCCGACGTAAAGAGTGTCCGCTTCCCTGGTCTCGAGGTTGGGCTGCGTATATCCAAGGGCTCCCTCGAGGGCGCGAAGTTATTCGCGCTTCGCGCTTCGCGGTCCTCCTTCCTCCTCCCCCTCCTCCTCGTCCTCCTCTTCTCCCCCTTGGGGGGCGGCGCGAGAGCGCGAAGTTATTCGCGCTTCGCGCTTCGCGCAGCGCGAAGCGCGAAGTTGGGAGCCCTAGTATATCGTGGTCGGTGTTCGGTTGCTCTGGCACGGCGTGACTTTCGCCCTCTTTGCCGGCCGCCGGTACGAGGGCGAGTGCACGCGTCGGGATGGGGGAGAAGCACACAGACAGACTCCGTCGTCGACTCCCGGGAAGAAGTTGGGGAACGTTGGGGAAGTGGGGGGGGCGACGGAAGCCCCGAAAGTATGGGAGATTATGTAGGAACGGTTTTTTGAAGGCAGATCTGCCTTCAATGTAAGAACGGTTTTTTGAAGGCAGATCTGCCTTCAAAAAACCGTTCTTACAAAGTAGACCAGTCTTTTTTGAAGGCAGATCTGCCTTCAAAAAACCGTTCTTACAGAGTAGACCAGTCTTTCCTCCTTGCAGGTCGAGTGTGGATCCTGTTACTCGTGTGCATTTGCTCGTGTGTGTCCCAGGGCCCCTTCAATGAGGCGGGGCCGCCCCCGCCCCCCGTGCGGCCATTTCGGGGGCCCGAGCGGGTTCGGGGGGAGGCCTCGGGCCTGCACGCTCGTGCTAACGCTTGCGTCGGGCCTGTCCCTCCACAGGGGGAGTACTCGAGCGCAGTAAAACGATAGCCTGGGGACCATTTTTGAGCCTTTTTTTTTTTTTTTTGTTTTCTTTCTTATATTATTATTATTATTTTTTTTTTTTTTAAAAAAAAAAACAATTTTGGAATATTTTTCGAGGATTTCTGCACTTTTCGGCGAACATCCCCCTGTAGGGGGACACGCCCGACTTGAGGCTAATTTCCCCACCTCGCCCCGCCCGCGGGGGGCTCCTTTCGGCGTGGCTCGACGGGCTCACCAGGGCCGCGTCCAGGAAACGTCTGGCACGGGCCAGATCCTGGCCGGGAGGGGAGCAGCAGACCTCCTGTTCTGACCTCTGGAGGCGCGCAGGAGGTAGTGGGACGGGGCGGGTGGCCTTCTGCGACGGCAGGGGGTTTCTGGAGGCCGATAAATTCGCCGGATATCAAATCCAGGGTGTCGACTTTTTGAACACGGTCGACTGGTGCTTGGAGGGGGGGCTGCCCGTAGGACCTTCCGTTTGCGCAATGTTTTTTCAGCATGTACCGCTTGTGGCATATGTACACATCGTTTCGAGTAAGGCAGGTTTACAATGTAATTTAAGTGGAAAGGATTTCCAGAGGTAGCGCCGTTAGAGCCGCGGAAGCTTGTCAGGAAAACAGGAACAACAATACGAAAGCGCAGAAGCCTTCAAACAGCTAGGACAACCGGTATCTGTCATTTCTTTGTTTATTGTGCCACCAGTCATCATTACCTCCCTCGGAAGGATAGCTTTTGATTTTATATTGCCGTGCCGATCCCGCGGTGGCTCCCCTGAAGCTCTGGGTTAGCCGTGCGCAGTCATTTGGCCGTGCTGCGACTGCCTAACCGATCCCGCGGTGGCGCTCCTGTAGCTCTTTGGCAGTGCTGTATAGCGCCAACGCCTTCCAGGAACCCTTCGATGGCTCTTCGGTAGCTTTCGGTATCCCTTCGGTAGTCCCTCGCTGGTCGTGCTGTGGTCTTTCTTCCTCCTCCTCCTCCTCTCTTCCCCCCTCTTTTCCCTTCCCCCATCCTCCCGCTCCTCTCCTTCCCCGGTTTCCTCCTCATCCACCTGGTTGTGACGGCTTCGGAAATGAGGCCTCGGTGTGGCGGCCTTACAACATATCATGCTCTCGAGATTAACATACAGCATTTTCGCCGCGACCGTCTCATTCGATCTCCTCCCTCGCTCCATTGCAGGTCATCCTCCTCGTCCCCGTACGCCTTCGCGTATTTTTTGGATTCCCCATGCCGCAGCAAATTCTCGAGTGAGGATCTAGATTTGAGCCGAGCGCGGCGCGGCAACGACGCGAGAATACGCATGAGGAGAAAAACGAGATGAGGATAATCAGGACTTGCATGAACACGATGCCTATGAGAACCAGGAATAGCAGGATGAGGAGGGGAGAATACGATGATGGACCACACTGATGAAGAACCGAGGCGATGTGGGGACTGAAGAAGAGCTAGGATAACGCTGTTACTGATACAGTCAACATCATGAACAACCAAATGATGCAGGCAAGTAGGATGAGCCACATAATGACTAGCAAGTGGGGCAACGCACGAGAGAACCTCTCGAACAAGCCTTGCTGCTACCATACACATCAGAGTGTCGGACGGGGTGCGCCCCGAGACAGCTACAAACACCTCTCCAGACAACAGACAAGCGTTCCAACGCGGCCGAACGTACCGCTGGCACGGTGGCAGATGCCGCGCAGTGGAGTCAGAGACATGACACGCACTGCAAGCAATTTCAACCCGTAGCGAGTCATCGCGCGACAACGTATGGCAACGCAAGGCACAGCAAGGTATTGCCAGGTCGAGCGTTGCCTTTCAGATTCAGGAGATGCACGTCGCAGCGAGTCAGCGCAATGCAGGGTGTGGGAGCGCATGTCGCAGCACCGCAATGGGCTAGGAATAAGAACGATGCAAGGCGCAGCACCAGAGGCAGGGCAAGGGAAGGCGAGCCAACGCTCAGCACGGTGCAGAGCAGAGCAGCAGCAGAAGCGGCAAGGCAAAGGCGCGGGCAAGACCCAGAAGGAGGGGCGAATTCGACGCAATGGAGGCAGCCAGGCGAGCGGGCGGGGATCTCCAGGGCTTCTTGGCGGCAGCGAGCAGTATGTTGCCAAGTATTCCAACGCAGCTCGCCTGTGCGCTCTCTTTTTCAGGCATGTTCGGCGCGTGCCAGGCGAGCACGACTGTTCTTGGAGACGCCTGGCCGTTCTGTGTTCCCAGCCATGGACACCCCGCTGGTTTTGCGCTCCCCTCCGCAGCATTGTCTGCCAGGGTAGCGTTTTCGTCGCTCGTGGAGCCTCCTAATCAGCCGTCGCGCGAGGTACCTCAGTGAGAACTACGCGTCCCCGGCAGTCTACCAGCAGCTCGCCCCTCTCTTCTGTCCGCTGTTTCTGCAGTGCTGCAACGACACCTACTACAAGTCGATTGCGCAGGCGCCGCTTGGAGGGTTGATGCAGATGTGCGGCGGGATGGTTGAACGGTCATCGCCCCCCCCCAGA